CAGTCTTCTTTGCATCCAAGATCTTTGTGTGGTCTCACCTCCAACAGTTGCTTCTTCTGCTTAGGCCATGTTTCAGCCAGATTAAATGGTGAATTGGATTAAATCAAACCAAGGTATTGGTTTGTGGTGGGTTAGGGTTAGGGATAGGGTTAGGAGAATGAAAAGTAAATATTTTGATATAAGGAAAAATAAAATCTGCAACAACAACAACAAAAAAACAACCTTGTGGATTAAATTAGAAAAACCCCCAGAAAAAAAAAACAGATTTTAGATTTTCATACAGATTTAAACTGATTTGTTCATTTCAACATTTTTACTTGCATTTTCTATAAATCTGTCTCAAGCAGGAAGCTCTAATTGTAATTTCGATAAGTTACAAATAACTTTTTGGACATTTTAGAGTGATTGAAATATGCTTTATGCTACAGAGTGAGACACCTGCTTGACCCTGGACCACATGTCTTTTATCTTACTATTTTGTCTTACTCAGAAAAATAAATAGCAGTGATGGGTTTTGCTACTTTACCTTATACACGATGGCCATTGGTGCTTTTCGTGACTGGAAATATTTCCAAAATGAGACACACTCTTTTCTGTACGCAAAAGGAAAGGGCAGTGGCCATTTTTTAAGCCAGCTGCCTAGCAGTGGGTGTCAACAGGTGGGGGATGGGGAAGCGCTGTTCTCTTCTGCTCCATGAAGCTGGATAAAAAAGCTCCGTCTCCCCGGTACGTTCTCTGTCATCATTTTAAAAACGGGCTTTTGAGTTTTAAACATGCAAATGGTATGCCAGAGAAACTTTTGTGGACCTCTAATCAATTTTGCAGCTGAAGATCTGACGCTATGACAAACAACAAACGTTCTGGGGACAAATAATGGAAAAATTTCTTCATAATCTACTGCTTTTTTGAAGGTGGTTACTGGGTTATTAGATAAGCCGATGACAAAAATGCTCATTTGCTCACTGAAGGTCAGAGCTGCAGTGTGCAACCTGTAGCTCTAATCGGCAACTTCTGCTGCGGCAGGTTTCCATTGTCTAAAGGTCAGTCGGGGACCGTGCATTAGCCTCGGAAAGTTGTTAGCATAAACGAGGGAGGGGACCAGGGGAGGAACCAAGGACTAAAGAAAAAAAAAAAAAAAAAAAACAGAAGAAAAGAAAAGAAACAAGGACAGGACGGAAGCAGGAGGGGAGGGTGAGTGGCAATGAAACCCCCGGCATGCTTTGTGGTGTCAGGCATGTGTACGGCTTCTGGGGGCTTTATGCGAAGTTTGCCTGCGAAAACCTCACTGAAGGCTGGCTGGGTTTGGTTCTGAGCGGCTCCCTTGTAGCAGGGTGGTGGTGCGGGAGGGTAGGGGCGGAGGGGGGTCGGTTTGCTCAGTGAGTGGGTGGAAAAGGGAAGTGAGAATGCAAAAAAAAAAAAAAAAAAAAAAAAGAAAGCAGGGGGAAAGAAAGAAGGA